GAAGCAGTTAGCTTCCTCCCATAATTGGGGCATACCAGGGGTTGTGACACTAAATATATTTCTATCTATGTTTCACTTTTTGTCTTCTTGCATGCAAGCCAACTTCTTGCTACAGATGCTCTGAACTTGCATTAGGGAGACCAGATTTTATTTATCCACACTTGAGACAGGAGGAGTAGGGCACAATCTCACAAAATTTCATTAATGATATTCTTACATTAGGCATACACAAAGCTTTGAGGATATAAAATTGCAGTGAGTGGTTTGCCAAGAACCACTTCAGAAGCAATAATATGTGGGACTTGGACGCACACACACACAATTTTAGTTTCTTAATTAAAATTAAATAGTTAATGTGGACACCATCCAATTATACATTTAATAATATTTCCTTCTGTTGCATTACAAATCTATAATTTGATAATTGAGGCTTTTAGAAGCTCATTTTAGAACCTCAGGACTTCAGATTATCCATCTCTAGTTTCCATCAACTGTTAAATCTCAAAATTGTAGGGTCATAGACATTTCTCCAAATTGTGAAGCCTATTTTTTTTAAAAAAAAATTGTGGGACACGGTGGCTCAGTGACTAAGACGCTGAGCTTGTCAGCAGTTTGGTGAATCCCTAGCGCTGCGTAACGGAGTGAGCTCTCGTTACTTGTCCCAGCTTCTGCCAACCTAGCAGTTCGAAAGCAGGTAAAAATGCAAGTAGAAAAATAGGAACCACTTTTGGTGGGAAGGTAACAGCGTTCTGTGTACCTTCGGCATTTAATCATGCCGACCACATGACCAGGGAGACGTCTTCGGACAGCACTGGATCTTTGGCTTTAAAACAAAGATGAGCATCGCCCCCTAGAGTCAGGAACGACTAGCACATATGTGCCAGGGGAACCTTTACCTTTACATTTTAATTTTTTTAAGTGTCTTCACATTTTCTACAGAGCCATTCCTAGGATAAAAGCAAGTTCAGGCTTTTTACACACCGAAATTGCCTACAGAACAAAAATATTTTTTAGGTATAATGTGTTTAGGTTTCCTTTGTTAGTATAATCACTCAGGGTGTTGATTTCTTTTAGACTGCCAACAGCTTACTTTGGGCTCTGTACAACATCTCCTGCAAGCCAGATGTCCAAGCAAAGCTGTTTGAGGAGATACAGAACGTGGTTTCACCTGGAGAAGACCCAAATTGTGAACACCTGAAAAAAATGCCCTATTTGAAGGCATGCCTGAAGGAGTCAATGAGGTAAACTGATTCACAAACCTAAGAATAAAATGATTATTTCCCCTTTGAATTGGCAACTGTAAAGCACAAAATGCAAGTAAATACCAATAGTGCAGAGGAAGACCATTTTAAGATGGATACATAAACAGAACAGACTGCAATTCTGCCTGGTCCAACTCTTTCTTCATGTTTGAGGACAAAGAGCATGTTAGAGTGGCATGTGGAGAAGACCTTGGGAGACAGGGGAAAGAGATGCTACCTAGGGAATGGTGAGATAAGAGATAGCATAGCCCACAGATGGATAATGGGCAAGATAAGAGGCTGAGAAGGAAGGGACCCTTCCTAGGGTTGGCACAACTGCTTTAAAGTTCATTCCCAATCTCAAAAATATGTAGCAATTTTGTTGGAAGGGTCTTCTCTGCTGTGAAGAATGAAACACAACAAGAATTTTGAAATGGTTACACCAAACCTTTCTAAGATAAGGATGTTAACATATTCATGGTGCTTTGAGCAACAGGTTTAGAAAGTCTCTTTGGTTACATCTGGATGTTTTGTATAGGGGTGGCACAGTGGTTGGAATGCAGTACTGCAGGCTACTTCTGCTGACTGCTGGCTGCCAGCAGTTTGACAGTTCGAATCTCATTGGCTCAAGGTTGACTCCGCCTTCCATCCTTCCTTCTGAGGTTGCTAAATTGAGGGTCCAGATTGATGGTGGCAATATGCTGACTCTGTAAAGCACTTAGAGAGGCCTTTAAAGCACTATAAAAGTGGTATATAAGTCTAAGTGCTATTGCTAGTGCTATAGCCCAGCCATTAATGTGTGCCCCCCTTGATAGATATGTTTGACCCCCTAAATAAAGTGCACATATCTCATTTTACTGTAGGTTAACACCTTCTGTGCCGTTTACCACTCGAACCCTTGACAAAGAAACAGTCCTTGGGGATTATGCTCTTCCAAAAGGGGTAAGTGACTTCCACCACGTACTGTAAATGTTCCACTTATTTTGATTAAAGGTTGAATGCATAACCTGTTTTACAACCAACAGCAGCACTTTTATAAAATGTGATTGGCCTTATAGCTTATCACACTTACTGGCACATCAACAGTTGGGAAAGGTCCTGCACTGCAGGGCCGGATCTCATAAATAAAACGCTTGATCTTCTTTATGTCTTGATAAATGTCAAGCATAGTTTTGCAATTGCTTTTAAATCTCAGACACCTCTTACCATGGATATATAGGTAGCGACTCAAATGTTGTAGGCCTTAAATACCCCAAAACATTTTTACATCTCCTGGTAGCATTTTCTCACATGATTTTTTTCCATTCTGAGCTAGGAATGCACTCAAACCGTAATGTAAGATCTACACTGAGTTTAACATAGATCAGGGGTTGGCAAGCTTAAACGGTTCCACCACAAAACTGCGGTAGACTAAAGCGCGCTCGACGAAAGCGCGTACCTGACGTCATCACAGCG